ATAAAATAGATTATATATATATTACAAAAATTTGAAGTATTTTAGAGGTATGTTAGAGGTTGGTTAAGTTTTCGTTGTTTTCCTCTCCATGTAACGCAAGTACGGGTTAGCTCCATAAAAAAAGTCCTCCAAGTAAGAAAACAACCACCAACGACGGTTATAAAACTAAAAATATTTATATAGAGAAAGCCGTGGTAGCTCAGGGGATAGAGCATTCGACTTATAATGAGCTGAACCGGGTTCGAATTCCAGCGATGGCTGTTCTATGCGAATTACGCACCCGGCGCGTTCCGACCAGTACAGTGCAGTCATGAAATAGCCTGTGGTAGATGGATCATGGATTATAGTTCCATCACCGGCGGGCTAACCGTGGGAGGTTTTCGAGGAGTTTCTTTCTCTGTAACGCAAATGCGGGCTCCTTTAAAAAGTCTTCATCGAAGACAAATTTCTGTCAAAACTTGATCCAGAAGTTCCCTTGTCTTCTGGATTGTGTTCACAATTACAGACCTACGGAGTTGAACATTAGTAGTCGTAAACTTGAAATTAGGTCGGCTGTTCAACGACGGTTATGAAATAATATATAGGCTAAACCAACCAGTAAAGGAGCACTACCCAGTGAAGGAATATTTCATAGGTATATATATTGATTAAAAATAAGAATTTGAAAGTTTTTCTTTAGATTGATTAGTAACAATAGCTTACTTCGAAACAATAGGAAGTCATCTAGCAATGTTTCGGATTACCTGGTCAAATAGACTTCGAATTTGTATAAAATTTTTTGTTATCGCTGCAACACCTTGTTTCTTTGAAAAAATTATAAGGTGAGTATTTGTAATTATATGTCAACAGTGTAATTAATTGCGTGTAATAGTTTTATTTTTCTCACTGTGAAAAAGAGAATTCGAAATATAGTTGTTAAAGTTACGTCTTATTTTTTTTAGCATCATAGCATAATAAAGTACTGAGATAAGGGGATGTTTACTCACTGGATCACCAAACGATGAAAAACTAGTGAAGGAACAACAGTTCCTTTACTGGACTTTTTTCTAAGTTAATGAAAATAAAAGATAAACTTTAATTTTCTTGTACCTTTAGTGATGTTCCGCACCAAAAGTATGTTAAAAACACGAAAAACAACTTCTAACCATTGAGGGAGCAGGCATGTTCCTTTACTGGGCATAGATCTCCCAGTGAATGAACAGTATGTGTTAATATGTTGACACTTTAATTTTCAATTCATGATTACAAAAAAAGTTAACATTTTCCAAGTATTTGTATGTTATAATTTCAAGAATAGGCTTGTTTTTAAATATTTAATATTTGTATGGCTTATAAATTCATAAAGAGCATTAAAAAATAACCAAATTTAAGTGTTCCTTTACTGGGTGTTCATTCAATGGTAAGAACTGTTCCTTCATTTGATCTTCTTACTACTTGTTATTTGAACCTCCAAAACTTTAAAACAATATTATGTAAGTTCTCTACATTTTTTTTACATAATTTACAATTAGTAACAAATATGTTGACACTGTCATTTAACTAAAATTACGAATTTTGAGATTAATATGATCTTTTAAAAGGCAAGCGAAGCTTAAGTGTTTCTTCACTGGTTAGTTTACCCTAAATATAAATAGAAATGTGTATTGTTTCCATTTATTCCAGCTACAGTCTATCGGTGAATATTATTCAAAGTGTCTATTTTAACAATAGGCGAAATAATATAATTCAATGACATTTTTCAACAACCTATAATAAAATCTATTCTACGATCTCTGTCGAATAGGTGAGGATGTAATAAAATTAAAAGTAAGACAGCAATCTTTTCCAGCATGTCATTATAGGGGAGTAAATCTCTGCATAGGATCATCTTACCAAAGCGTTACTGAGCGATATCATTATAGAATTGATGGGCATCCTTACGGAAATAGGTTTCAGCATGAGAGACGATGATCAATTTACTCTATTTGCAAATGATAGGTGATTAGAGGAGCTACATCACTCACGCTACTCATATTTGTTACATAAATGGCACACACTTTTCTTTATGACTTAGAATTCTGAAAATCGTAATTTTAAATTCACGAACCCTATGAGAATATTAATTTTATGTTTTTTAAGATGTAGATACATTTAAATAAAATAGATTTTAATTGTTTATGTATTGCAATTTAAATAAGAGCTTATGTTATGCTGATAATTGTTTATGTTTTGCAATTAAAATAATTGCTTAATACACTCTCGGAGAAAAAAGTACGGTCGAAACTACTCGGAAATAATTAAATTTACCGTGTTTATGAGAACTACAGAACATGTGTTTACCATAAGAAGAGCATAAAATATAGTGTTTTAACGCTTTCACCCCGACTGTCACAAATACGTGCCAGCATAAAACAGTATCAACCAGGGTAAAACGATAAAACTGGTAATCAAAGTAATTATTTAGCTGTTTATTTGTGGGTGGAGCAATAATTGTTTGATTTATTTAATTCACCATTACTTTGTTCAAAATAAAACTATTTAGTTATACTTTAAATTAACATTGATTATATATATGATTAAACTGACAATAATTAAATTAAAAGCAAAGTAAGTCTGTCAAATTAGAAACGACTACATTTATGTTACCGTTTTTTATTTAATTACTTCCTGATCGTGATTTTGTCCTGATCCTTTTCTGAATCACCCGTCCCCAAGGGGTAAATAAGTCATAAAATTTGGTATATGTGGAAAAATTTGATAATTTCATGATTCATTAGAGCATTTCATAAAAACCATTGATACTCTTAAATTTACTTTTCAGTTTTTTATTTTTTACAGACTGACTGGTAATGAGAACTGTAATTTTAAATACCAAAAATTCCAGTAAACCGTTATCATACGAATGAAAAAATTACCAAATTAATGGTTTAAAAATAGCGTATATTTTAGTTTTATTACCAGAATTAAGTTTTCTATCTACTAAAAATTTCATTACCATACAGTACTGTAACTTCATAAGATTTTTTCCCTCCTTGCCAACTGGATTTAAATTTAAGCTGAAGTATTGTGGAGAAACAATCATCAAGTATATAACTCTAATGCACCAAGATTGTTTCTCCTAACAAAAGTTTTCATTTTTGTTAGTTATTTTAATGAAATTTTTTTGAATTATTTAACTGAAGTGTTTGCTATTAAATAATGCTTGTGCGTTTGTTAAAATTCTTAAAAAATCAGAATCCTGAGTTAAATGTCAGATAAGTCATAGAAAGTTTTACTTCGATGCTTTTTCGAAGAAATCAAAACCATCTAGACCCCTAAATGCAAAATAATGTGACAGACTATGTGCAACAACATTTGTGACTGCTTTGGACAAATTGATATAATTAGTTAAACATGGCCTTGATTTATTTGTTCATGAATATATTTTAATTTTCAAAATGAAAGATTTTAGTTAAATATGACCAAATTACGGAGGCTAATGTTATCGAATAATTTCTACTATAATTTGAAAGTGTATTTTTATTATCTTTAATTGAGAAACTTTGCTAAAATTTTATTAAATTAATCTTTTAAAATAAAACGAGCATAATAATGTTAAAAAACAGTCATAAATTGTTTACAGCAAAATTGTTTCATTCCTGTTAATTCTGTTACATTTAATGTTAACGTACGAAATATCATTGAAAAAGGGATATATATTACAGAATTCACCAACTCAGTTTAAGCCACCTTGAGACTCCTCATATTATTTTGACAACCAAATAATCAGTTTTTACTTTCGTTATCCACTGGGAAATTCGAGTATTGAAAATTACTAAACTTTGTTATATTTAATATTAACGAACAAAATATTATTGAAATACTGACACCTAGACATTACAGGATTAACAAATTGACAGTTTTTGCCATCTGCACTGTTTTCCCAGCCAAAGAATCAGTTTTTACTTTCGTTATCCAATGTCAAAGCTGAGTATTGGAAATAAATTTCTACACAAACATACTCAAATGCAAAGCACTTTGTCGGTTTAAACCTGATTAACCTGGTAGTTGAAAAAAGATATGAGGCGTAAAAGGTTCCAGAACCTGACATTCACCAAAATGTGTGCTTGAAATGCGACATGTTTTCAGAGTTATTTAGTATAATACAGATTGCTCTGGTTGAGTAACTATTGGCATTATTATTTTAATAAAAGAACTATTGTCAAGCACACTATTGCAAGTAATTAAATCGCTATAACATGAAATTAATGAAAGCAGACAACTGACTTACCCTGATTTTGCAAAGTTAATCCAGTAGGACATTACAGCTTCTGACAGAGCTACTTCAGCTTTTGTAAAGTTTTTAGAAAAATGAGATAAGTTTCCAACAATCGGAGCTCCAAATAAATACGCTAATTCTTCTCCGTGTATACAGCCGTGTCTTTGAGGATAGTCTCCATTTTCTGTTTGATAGCCAAAGACGTAAAAATACGTCTTTGCTTTTGTTTTTGAATGGTAATTCCCTGTTCTTATCAGTGGAGCCACAGTAATACCATCTCCTAACGCTTCCAGTGTAGCATCTAAAATGCTAATAGGATGCTGAGCTGGGCGATTCCAATCTGTATACTCATTCACTATAGTTAAGAATATTTCTTGCATGTGGTAATTAAAAAGATTTCTCACTAAAGTTCTCAACAGTCTATCACGTCTATCAGCATCAATTCCACGCTTTTCTTCATCGGAAGAAAAATGATGGAAATTCTCTGTCCTTGTAACTCCAAAAAGTAAATCATATTGGCCAAAAGTGCTTTCTATTTCTTTCATGGGCGTTAAAGGATCTACTGGAATTACGATTCCGTCTACTGTTGGTCCAAAAGCAGAGAGATGTTCCGGAACCATAAGCTGCACTCGCATGATATCCGCTAATGGTCTTTGCCGCATGCAATCAAGCATTGGGAGTGTTTCTTCCGTAGGACAATTTAGGGTTTCGGTTACCTGACGACCGTAGGTCAAAGCATCATGAGCTATTGCCCAAGGGCTTAAAGCTGAGCCACTCTGCATTATTGCTCGCTGGAACAGTCCTAATAAAAAAAGAAGAGCGTTAGTACTTATTTATATCTTAAAGTTTATACGAAGTAAAGAAGAAGGAAGAGTGTTACAAAAATATGCCACAAATAACCAAGTTAGTATTCGTGTAATATCTTAAAACAAGTAATTTTTTACCCTGAAATTTGCTGCGCATAAATTATTATGAAAATTAAAATATTTTCTTATTTTAAGTAATATAATAATATTTTTTGAGAAAAATATGGTGAAAGTAATCAATATGTATTTTCTTGATTTTGCATGCTCATTAATTTTCATGGTTTTAGAATAACTTAATAAAAATATAAACCTTTCAAGTATCTAATTTTTTTTCCTTATTTCTCACTAATAACTTACCTTAGAACTCTAATGGTAACTAAGCTTAATCGACTTTAAAATTTCCTATATTATTCCTGTATATTTTCCTATAGTATACAGGGTAACAAAAAAGTATAGGGATCACTTTTGTGGTTATCTGCCACTAAAGTTTTAAAACCTTTTTACATATATAGCATACTGATCTAAAGCTCTGCTATTAGACTTTCAATTGCAATACTATTTTTTAAAAATACGAAAATGCCTTTGAAAAAATTTGACGGAAAGCTAATTGGTGGAGTACAAGCATTTTTAGAACTTCGCTGGAGCCACTGGATTATTCAAACCCATTTCAAAAAGAAAGGTATTGCGATTTCACTCACCCATGTCAGTCGCATCAAGAATTCAAAACTCGGAACGATGCAAAATAATGCAAAACCAAAAAGAAGTGGATGGCCAAGCAAATTGAAGAAATCAGATTTGCAGAAGCTTGATAAGATGACATCAAAACCGGATCCACCAACACAGGCAAGCATGGCTAAAGCTCTTAACGTGAGTCAGCAAGTTGTAAGCTATCAACTAAAACAAAAGTTGAAGAAAAAATGCCATAAAAAACCAAAATGTCATCATTTAAGTGAGAGATCGGTGCAGATTAGGAGGCAACGCTCATGGCCCTTCTACAAGCTTCTCCGTAAGGACAGATGGCGAAAGTTCATTACAACTGATGAAGCTTGGATCTATCTATCTGATACCAATGCTAAATCTAAAGTTCAATATCTTAGCCGTGGGCAGAACAGGCGAGACTTGACACCATCAACCACGGTGCCTCATCCCAAAAGCGTAATGGTTTGAATGGGCATATCCGCCCATGGTGTGACCAAACCTCGGTTTGTGAAAACTGAGGCTAAAATAAATTCTGAGTATTACATACAGAAGATATTAAAGCCCTTTCTTAAGGATGATTACTGCAGATTGTACCCTAATGGTGATGCTGTGTTTCATCAGGACTCTGCCCCATCGCATGCATCTAAGGTCACCCAGAAATTCCTAACAGATCAGAAAGTGAAATTCCTGAGACCAGAACAATGGATTCCAAACAGTCCTGATGCTGCACCATGCGACTATTTCTTATGGGGACACCTGAAAAACAAACTGAATAAGTGAAGAATTTCAACATTGAGAGGCCTTCAAAGAGCTGTTAGAGAAGAGGTGAAGAAAATCCCCCAGGAAATCATTTTGCGGGCTTTAAAATCAAAGCCGAAGCGTTGTAGACAAATCTATTATGCCGGAGGTCGACATATTGAGAAGCATCGCTGAATTTTTGCAATAAATTTTGGAAATAAAAACATCCAAAAATGATCCCTATATTTTTTTGTTACCCTGTATATTTCTTGTTTCTTTTTCCATCTTACTAAGCAATAGTGAGTATAATAATATTTTTTATACTCAAAAAACATTTGATTCCAAATTTATATAATTAAATTTTTGGAGATTCCTTCGAATTTCTATTTGTGTGATGCTGGGACATATCTACGATAACATAATTTCAATTTTAATGGTAATAAAAATATTCAAGGAAAAATATGTTGAAACTTCCTTAGGCTTTTCTCTCAGTTCTTTTATTCTGTTACTCATTCTTCCAACTATCTTTTACTTGCATCAAAAATACAGTGGGAATTTATATCTATACTTTTGACCTTTCAGAAAATTGTTATACAGAGCAAATATACTTTTTTTAGAAAATAAAATATTTTAAAAAAATTCGAAATTTTGTCAAAGAGCATCAAAAGTATGTATTGTTTCTTTTTTATTAGTTTTGTTTTTTATGTATTAATTATTTTTTCATAAATTACTTATTTCGAAATTTTTTTAAACTCTTATCCTTTTTGTCTCATGTACCTTTGTTGCATATATTTATATATTTTTTTCTTTTGCTTGCAGTGAAGCTCTCTGGGAGTTGAATCTATTCTCTTGACCGTTTAGAAAATTGTTCTACGAAACAGATATACTTTTTCTAGTATACAATATATTATGAAAATTTCAAGATTCTGATAAAGAATAAACATTTGTCCGGCTTCTTTGTGGTCTATTTTCTGATAGAGAATAAATAATATGCATTTTTTCTTGTTGTCTATAGATCCATATAGCTATTTAATGTTTTTCTAAAAATAAATTTTTTCAATTTTCCGCTTATTTTTTATATAAAACTTATTTCTTCAATGGTAACGAGAAATAAACAAATGCATAGTCCTCAATTTCCTTTTTTATGGCTTAAATTAGTAAAAAAATGCTTTTTAAGAAAAAATATTGAATTAATTATGTTTGATTTTGTATTGTTCTTCGAATTCAAACTAATTCCTTCTAATAGATCTCCATCTTATGCAGTATTAGAATATCTATATTTTAATAAAGATTTGTGTTGATTTTTCGGTTAAAAAAATTCTTAATAAATGCATAAATTCACTTTTAAAGGAATTTATATAAATTTATTAGAATTTAAGAGAATTAATACGTCTGAAGACATATGAGAATAAACAAAGGGCGCTGATTAGGGTCTATTTCTTCATATTATAGTACTATAATAAAATTAAATTCTCAATGCCATAGTAATTATGGATGCATGCTATTACATTAATGCTTGATTGTGTGATAGTGCTAAGAACATACACTATTAAAAGAACGACCAAGTTATCGGACGTTTAGAAACACTACAAGCAGATAGGCAAAATTACCAGCAGTGGTAAACGAGCTGATAAATACATGTTTAAATGTTGAAACAAAGGCAGGAAATAATACAGAGTTAAATACACAGTTATAGTTGAAGTTACTTGCATTGGTATGCAATCATTTCAATCTATTATTAGACGTCCAAAAAGAGAACTAAAGAAATATATATGATGAAGTTCGAATGTGCAATGGGGAAGACGTAAATTATTGCCATTTAAAAGCAAACTGCACAGTTTTCTATAAAACGAAACAAAACAAAAGCAAGGGAAGAAAAAGTTCATCAAATATTTGTCACAAGGATGTGTGTTTACTATAATGCTACGTCCTAAATTAAAATTAATAACGAATTAATCTAGAATGTTTATAATTTTTAAAAAAATATTATTGCAGCTAATTTATGTTTCAGAATAAATTTTTTTATTACCAGAACTCCTGATTTTAGTTAAACAATTTCCGGCAGAAAGCGCTGCAAAGCCCAATGATAATTTCTTTCGTTGAGCTCTGAGGTATGTGTTTGGTTATTTAAACATAATATAAAAGTGCGAACTGGGTTCGAATCCCAGTCGATACAAATTCCGCATCAAAGTCGCATCGACCACAGAGCTGATTTAAAATATCCTCAGTAGTAGACGATTCATGGGTTAGAATCCTCTTGCCGTTTAGGCTAACATTAGGAAGTTTTTGAAGTTTTCTTCTCCATGTTAAGCAAATGCTGGTTAGTTCCATCAAGAAGTTTGATGGTAAATTTCTCCCAATACTTGTTGCTGGAATTCTTTTGTCTTTTAGATTGGGTTTAAAATTACAGGGCTATGGAGTTGAAAATTAGAAGTCGTAAACTCAAAATTGGGTTGGCTGTTCAGCGGCAGTTAAACAGCGATAAAATAAAATAAAATGAGTTCGAGTAGTAATCAAAATATAGCGAGTTTAAACTCTTGTGAGTCACTTATTCCTTTTTTCAACTGTTTGGTTAACGGAATACTGTTTTGATTACCTTTATTGAAATACATTCCAAAAATAAAATAAACATTACTAAATACAACGCAAAATGCATTTCAGATAGATATTAAACTAACTACATGTTTTGCTTAGATCAAATTTTTTTTCTGAAACAGCTATGGATATTTTGTGCAAGATTTGCTGTGATGCACAATATTTTAAAAAAGAATACTGAATAAAAAATATTTGTTATTTTGCAATTAATTCCTTGAAATTTCATGAAATTGCTTCAATTAATATTTTGCTGATGATTTAATTTTTGCTGATGATTAAACTCTTGTGAGCCACTTATTCCTTTGTTCAAATGTTTAATTAACGGAATACTGTTTTGTTTACAGTTATTGATATGCATTTCAAAAATACAATAAAAATTACTAAATACAACGCAAAATACATTTCAGATGGAGATTAAACTAACTATATATTTTGTTTGGATCAAAAACTTTTCTGCAACAACTATAGACATTTTGGGCGAGATTTGCTGTGATACACATTATTTCAAAAAAGAATACTGAATAAAAGATATTTATTATTGTGTAATTAATTCTTTGAAATTTCACGAAATTATTTCAATTAATATTTTGCTGATGATTTATCCGTAACGTTTTTTTCGGTAATTATTGTAATTTGTTTCAGCAATATTGCAGTTTAAGTAGATTTAAAAGACTACAACCTCTGTATATGTTTAAAATATCAGTACATTTTTAAAGTTTATACGTTTACACTCTTCGAAAAATAATTGGCTGATAACTGAAATGCAAACTCTAAGCACTAAAATAATCAGTTATTTGTTGAATTATGACTTAATTTTTATTCCTAACCCTAAATAAAAATTCCACACAATTAGAAAAAAAAACTTCAATTCTTAATTTTTCTAACAATAAATAAATTCCTTCATTACTCCTTCACTTTTTGTATGAAAGAAGACTAAAATGCAGCCATTCGAGAAATTTTAATG